ACCATTTTTCAGGTCCCCACAAAGATCTGTGACTGCAATCAAAAAACTAAAAATGCCAAAAGTCTCATATTTTGTTTGAATTAGGTTAGGGCTGGGTAGGGGTTAAGGTCGTCATGTTGGGATTACAGTTTCCCCCATAGAAATGGTTGGAGAGTCTCCACTAAGATATAATTACAAACCTGTGTGTGTGGGTGTGTGAGTCTGTGTGTGGTGCACGTATGTTTGGTCCTAGCTTAATATTTGGCACAGAAAACCCAATTTGAAACACATGAGCATTTCTGAGCTATAGAAAACAGGCCTGATGCATTTGCCGCGAAACGCTGAGGGATCCGATTCCTGTGTGTACCCTTGCACGTGTGCGTGTGCTGAACGACAAAGAGCGGCACCGTGACACACGGGAGAGGACTCCCCCCATCCCCCGACCCAGCTGCAGCAGAGAGAAGTGCTGCAGGTTTTTTTTTTCTTATGGAAATGGGAAATAATGGGGTGATTAAATAGAGCTGTATATTAAAGTACAGCTGACATTAGCATTAGCATAATGCGGCCTGGCCTGGGGCTGCACATTTAGTCTGCCATCTGCGTCCATCTCACGGCCCCATGGACGGGCCAGGCGCCCGGCGTTCTCAGCGCCCCCTGTGCCCTGCGCCTCCCAGGGCAGTAGGGACTTGGGAGGGGTTGGAGGGTAAAGCACCATGCTCAGCCGCCTTAATTACATGGATGTTAACCGCCCCCACGTCCTCAGTGGGCTCCTTTAGATATTAAGTATGTGAGCATGCTGGATAGACCAGAGAAGGGCGGTGAAGGCATGCCGTTCGGTAAAATTGGTGTCGTTATTTTCCTGAGTTTTGTGTGTGTGTGTGTGTGTGTGTGTGTTTAATGGAATGCTGTTCCTCTTAAAACCCTGGACGCTAAACAACAACAGGCCTCTGAAGGCTTGTGAAGCACAAATGGGGCCCATTACCCAGCACCGTATGCTTGGTTCACTGTAATTAAGCCGAAGGGTTAAAAGGACGACTGCAAGTATGCAGCCCCCCCCCCACCGTCCCGCTCTCTGTTGTTTTTTTTTTTTTGGTCTCAGGACGCCGACACTGTGTAAGGGACACGGTTGGTACAGACGCTCATTAATACACCACTCTGCCATATCACCCCAGCGGGAGTGCCAGAGACAGGCTGCAGGGTTAGGGGGGCTCAGTCCATACCGCCTCAGCAAAGGGCTCAAAAGGTGTTGGGGGGCCAGGGGGTGAAGCAGAATAAAATGGATTATCTGAGGGCTTTCAGATGGCAAGGTCCAGCCAACAGAGTCACACGGGGCATTCACATGATTCTGGTGTTCCGGTAAATGGGGTGACCCCAAGCTACCATTTATAGGATAGAGGGATGTCCAATGAGCAGGTAACCATATGCAATAACTAGGTGCTACAACAAGCAGGCTGCTAGCTAACTCAAACACACAGATAACTAGGTGCTACAACAAGCAGGCTGCTAGCTAACTCAAACACACAGATAACTAGGTGCTACAACAAGCAGGCTGCTGGCTAACTCAAACCCACAGATAACTAGGTGCTACAACAAGCAGGCTGCTGGCTAACTCAAACCCTACAGGTAACCAGAAACAATGGTGAGCTGGCTGCAAGCAACCCACAGGTAACCAGCCAAAACAAAGACAGCAATGTTCTGTTCTTGGAGTGGGTTCATTTGCAAAGATTTCATATGAATTGTTTCAGGCCAATTTAAATTAGCTTTTACATTTTAATTATCTAAACAAATTTGTCATTAAAGCATTTTCTCTGCTTGAGCAAATATCTTTTTTTTAGGCGAATTAGGGTAATATATTCTAAAACTCAGTCAGCAAAAATACCTTGAGGGTACTTGAAACGGCAAAAGTAAGAGTGCAATTATGCAAGTGGTTTTGCGAGCAGAGGGCTATACTGTGCAGACGTCGCATGGCAGGCAGTTATAAGCATTTGAGGGGGCATTATGACTGTGCGGGACGTCCCACAGACCCCGGTTTCCCCGCAAATTCCATTATGCGTACTACAGAATCACATGGTTCTTTCAGTACATTAAATGTAGATATTCTCCTATCTTGCAAAGTATTCCCAGGATGTTTAGTTTAGTTCCCTTTTATTGTTAATCTTATAATCATTATTTAATTAATGATAATGTGGCATTTACACATATGATAGCTTCATACTCCAAATTCCTGCTTTTGTAACAATTTACAAAAGGAAAAAAGAAGATACGTATTGTCCATATCACAACTAATGAATGGGAAAATATATTGTGAGAGGTGACCAGAGGACATAAAGAAATGGTTTAACGGCAAATGTGTAGAATTGTGTAATGATACGTGTTTATACGGTCCGTGAATTATTCTCAGGCTTCCAAGCCAATTAGTGTTTTATTTCCCATTCCTATAATCCCATTAACGACCGATGCATACGCAATGACCTCGTTAGGCCCCTATTTGTTGAGACTCACAGTCTGTTGGGGGAATATTTGAATTAATTATTGCGCTCATTGTGAGCTCTACCTGTCTGCAGCCGTCCCATCCCCAGGGATCACACGGGTGGCTAGCTTGGTCCTCTCAGGTGACCAAGAACATTGGCTTCTCTTTAACTCAATGGGCAGAAAGTGCCATAAACCAGGTCAGAGAAGCACAGGGCCTAGCAGGAAGCCAGGCTGCTGTTTTACCCACAAAAATTCTCACCAACAAATCAGAAAGAGGGAGTGATGTCGGGGCTTGACTTTCAATATACTGGTACCTTATGTTTGGCGACACGCCATCACTTCATCATTCCTGGGGGTTCTCATCAGCCATAAACAAAATAAGGCTCAGCGCGGCTCTTGTCCTCAGCTGAGAATCCCCTGTTTTCCACCTGGAGCGTGGAAACAGAGCTCCTTGCTCACTGATCCAGATGTAGCGCTGGTCTGGTCCGTTCTTCCATTTTCGATTAGTGAGCCACTTAGTGAGTCTGGAGCCCGTGCCTGTGCAATGGCAGGCATAAGTCATGGGACACCATGGACACTGGGCATACACTCGCACATTAATGGCTTCTATCCCAGTTCACATAAGTATATGATTTTGGAGTGTGGGAGGAAAGCAACACAGGCAGAGGGAAGATGTAAACACTCCATCGAGTGAGATTCAGGGGCAGGAATCAAACCCATAGCCCTGGAAATGTGAGGTGGGTGGTGGTGCTGTCCAGGGAGCCACTGTATTGCATTCTTTCTGTAATGGAATGCATCACCCAGAGAGCTTGATGGTATAAGAGGAGGAGGATGGTCAACAACGAAATGGACTCAGTCATCATGACCATACCATTGGGAAGTCTGAAGACCACGACAGAAGACAGGACATTCTGGAGGAACCCCATTTTTATGTTCACCAAGAGTCAACATCAAGTAGACGGCACCTACTAATATAAATAATGCAATAGTATGGAACTATCTTTCAGGTTAGGGCTTGGCTACTTCCTCCAAAGTCACCATTGAATTTGAGGACCTGCTTGACAATGTGCCATGAGAACAGAAAATCTCATCCATGCATCCCAGATTAGATCTAAAGAGTCAGCAGACAAGGCTGTACCTACAACCAGAAGTGCTACCACTTCCCGTGTCTTCACCCTCCACTCTTGTTATACAACAAATCTGAATTTAACAATTCACCTGTTGCCCGAGATTCTTCTTGTCGGCGTGTGCCCTGCTTTCTTTCTTTAAAATGAGAAATGGTTTGAAGAGAGCATTTCTCTATGTCTAACAAGAGGGTGCTGAGGCTGTAAAGTATGTGTTCTATATGGCTGACAAACCGACAAGCCAAACACAGAACCTATCAACTGGTCTCTGTGTTTAAGCCTTTCTCTGTAATTCTGCATTACGGATGAGAATTAAAAAAAAAAAAAACAACTGAGAAGAATCTATTATGACTTTAAGCTAAGCCAGATCCATGCTTATGTTCATTTAAATCATATTAAATTTATATAGACATCCAGAACTATCTCTATTTGTGTCAAGACTGAAATATCATTGTTGTAATCATATTCTTCCAATATGTGACAGTATGATTATATATGTTATAGTACTCCAACCGCTCTACAAAGGAGGCCATTTTAAAGGGGATATGTATACGATTGACTGAAACTGATCCATCCTTGCGTCCGCACTAATACTCTCTGGCAAAAGCAATTAAGGCAGGTACATCCCCACGCCAGCTCCTCTTATCTCCACAGCCGCCCACGGTCACGTAGATCTGACAGCGTGCAAACGCGCAGCCCAGCCAAACAACCAGGCAATTACCACGCCAGATGTTTACCTTCATCTCTGAATTGCCGCATCGGGTCAGAAACAGCAAGCTTCCATTTGATAAATAAATGCAGCTTGTTTCTGGGTGCAGGCTTACCGATTTCAACGCGTTTTCCGTTATTTGTTCAAATCTCCCCCCAGCAATGCTGCACGACGCTTGCACGCCCTCCACACACCCCCATAAATCTCTCGAGGAGCGTGTACCATGTGAACAAAGAAGCTTTTTGAAGACGCTTCTCCTCTGTGAGCATCATGCACTCATGCACAGCAAATGGACACCTAGCTGCACACTTCACCTTAAAAATGAAGTACCCCCATCTCTAGCATGGCTCAAGTAATGTGGTCATTCAGGCACATTTCAGCATATCTGAAACCTGACAAGACAGTGAGGCAGGCTTTGCAGTGTTAGTGGTGTGTGGGTGATGGAGGGCAGTGAGATGTTGTAATAGTTAATGCAAAGAACCACCCATTAGTATGACTATCATTTCATTTAATTACTATTGTTAGAACGGGTTTCTTATGTGACTGTACATTTTTGTTATTTTTTGCATCCAAGCACATTGTTACAGTGAACACAAGTTGTGTTGATTTCCCACAAATAATACTTGTCAAATATAGTCCATTATTTCAGCCTTTGGCTGATTAGGAACAGTTGAAGTGCCAGGTGTTTACTCCTCTCTCCTTTCACTTCCTCACAGGAAGAGATGAGCCTTCAAGCTACATTTGCACGACGTGCAAGCAGCCGTTTCCCAGCGCCTGGTTCCTCCTCCAGCATGCTCAGAACACCCACGGGATCCGCATCTACCTGGAAACTGGGCCCTCCAGCTGCGCCCTGACCCCCCGGATCAACATCCCCCCACCTCTAGGAGCCGAGTCTATTCCACAGTCGCCTCTCAACAGCTTCATCAGTGATACCAATCCCTTCCACCTGTTGCGCATGGCAGCCCCAATCCTTCGTGAGCCACCACCCTTCCTGGAGAACCGGCTACCTGGCACGCCCCCCTTCGTCAGCCCTCCACCACGCCACCACCTGGACCGCCTTAGCACCGAGGAAATGGGCCTGATCTCCCAGCACCCCAGTGCCTTCGAGAGGGTGATGCGTCTGACACCCATGGCAATGGAGTCCCAGTCCATGGACTTCTCTCGCCGGCTCAGAGAACTGGCGGGAAACAACAACTCAAGTCCGCCGCTGTCACCGAGTCGCACAAACCCTATGCATCGCCTACTCAACCCCAACCCCTTCCAAGCGAGCCCTAAGTCGCCCTTCTTGAGCACCCCTCCTCTGCCGCCCATGCCCCCCGGGAGCAGCACCCCGCCGCAGGCACAGGGTAAGTCCAAGTCCTGCGAGTTCTGTGGCAAGACGTTCAAGTTCCAGAGCAACCTAGTGGTACACCGGCGGAGCCACACGGGCGAGAAGCCCTACAAGTGCCAGCTGTGTGACCATGCCTGCTCCCAGGCCAGCAAGCTGAAGAGGCACATGAAAACGCACATGCACAAGGCTGGGTCCACCACCGGCCGCTCAGAGGATGGCCTGTCCTCTACAAGCTCCCCAGAACCCCGGGCCGGTGACTCTACAGGCGAGCGGGCCAAGGGCCGCGAGGAGGACTTCCGGGGCGAGGGGCTGGGTCCAGACAATGAGGAGGAGGAAGAGGAAGAGGAGGAAGAGGAGGAGGACCCTGAGAATGAGAGCAGGCCAGAGTCCAACTTCAGTCTGGATTCAGAACTGAGTCGCAACCGTGAAAATGGCTCCAAGCTTCCCACACGTGAAAAGGATCTCTCTACGGGCAAGACGGAGGAGAACATGGGCCTCGGCGGAGTGCACCAGTACAATGACTTCATGGTCGACAATCGGAAAAGGCTCCCCTTCCCCAAGGGGGGCCCAGATTTGCAACGGGACACCGGGGACGAGGACTCAGTAGTGGGGGAGATGGACCGAGTAGAGCAGGCTACAGTGAATGGCAGAAACTGTGGCTCAGGGGACTCTTTCTCAGGCCTGTTTCATCGGAAGCCCACCCCAATCACCAGCCCTAGCCTGTCCAACTCCTCTGCCAAACGGATAAAGGTCGAAAAGGACCTGGACCTCCCTCCAGCCCCACTCATCCCGTCTGAGAATGTCTACTCCCAGTGGTTAGTGGGCTACGCCACCTCACGGCACTTCATCAAGGACTCCTTCCTGGGCTTCCCTGACGCTCGGCAGTCGCCCTTCGCCACCTCGTCTGAGCACTCCTCAGAGAACGGCAGCCTGCGCTTCTCCACGCCTCCCGGCGACACGCTCGACGGCGCCTTCTCAGGCCGCAGCGGCACGGCTAGTGGCAGCAGCACACCGCACCTGCGGGGTGGCCCCGGTCCCGGGAGGCCCAGTTCCAAGGAAGGCCGGCGGAGCGATACATGCGAGTATTGCGGCAAGGTGTTCAAGAACTGCAGCAACTTGACAGTACACCGGCGCAGCCATACAGGGGAACGGCCCTACAAGTGTGACCTGTGCAGCTACGCCTGTGCTCAGAGCAGCAAGCTAACGCGCCACATGAAGACGCATGGCCAGTTCGGCAAGGAGGTGTACCGCTGCGACATCTGCCACATGCCCTTCAGCGTGTACAGTACTCTGGAAAAACACATGAAGAAGTGGCACGGGGAACACTTGATGACGAACGAGGTCAAAATCGAACAAGCAGAGAGAAGTTAGGCTAGAGCCCAAGTCCTCCGCGCCATTTTTCCAACAGCTGGATAAGCTGGTTAGCTGGATGATCCTTTCCTAGTTAATTGGTTTTTTGAGTGTTTTGATGTTTTTTCTTTTTGTCTAAGAAACTGCCAACTGAGAAATAATAGCAGGAAAATTGAATTGGCGTCTCCTTTTCAAACCGTCAATCTGAGGATTAAGCAGTGGTGAATATATGGAGCCTTTAACTGTGCAATAATTTCTATTTATTGGATTTCTGTAATAATGTTTGGCATGTGCTGGTACATTTATTGTATTTCTTTTTTTTCATTTCCTTTGTTTCACAATTCCCAGGGTTTTGTTTGGAAAAACCCAGGTGACATCCTGAGATTTTCATTTAGCAAAAACAGAATACTATTGTCTTGAAACGATACTGTAGTCCGCAACTTTGAGAAAATAGTATATTCGAGCTGTGTGGATGATTTCTTGAAGAGAAGCCAAATTCAATCTTAGAAAGCTATGTGTTCTTTTTTGCTTTTATACCTGGTAGATGTATGAGCGAATAACAATCTTTGAAAGCTGTATTTCTGTGGGAATCTTAAATATATCAGTATAATTGGATATTTTGAGGGTCAATAAAATAATATTTAATTTTTGTTAACTGAAATTGCAGACCAGAATTTAGATAACTGATCATTACAAGGGTAGATGATTTCAGGTACAAAATACTCATCCGTATTTAGCATGTTGTCTTGATCCTGGCAGTACAGTAGGTTATTTACAGACTGTTTACGTTAAAATTAAATGTGCGTCTAATGGGCATCGATTATGGGTAGCCCGCTAGCCCCCCTTTTCCAGTGTTATGGGTTCGTTTCTCGCCCCTGACTCTGTCCATGGGGTGTACCATTATTCCCAGGATAGGTTCTGGGCTCTCCGCAACCCTGTGTCAGGTTAGTGGCTGTCGAAGACTCGTGACGACATGCTCCCACGCTATGCTGCCATACACAGCTGCACTTTGTGTTCCTCATAGAGACGACATACCTGAGTTTTCTGTATGTTGTGTTACAGTAAAACCGCCCCTATTGTGGGAAAGCTAGACAAACTGGCCAGCAAAACCGGAAGCCTTGCGAAGGATGTGACAGACTCACCTGAAGTATCTTCCTCATTTCTAAATTGTTTGTACGATGTCACCATTTTGACACTCACTGACTTTTCAGTGTCTTCTGGCCCCCTTTATAATATAATCGGGATGGAAATGAAAGCAGTCTGGCCCTACCATTCAGTGACACATTTTTCATTTTATCCTCAGTGTGTATTTTTATATATACATATAAATATTTCTGTTCCGTCTGAGAAAAAGTGAAAAGGTGTTTAGTGAAAAATGGTCCTATGGCAGCATTTATATATTACATTTAAAAAAAGAAAAAAGATGTAGCCTAAGTGCAGATCCCACTTTAAAAATTGACCAGTCAAGATTTTAAAAAGAACAAAAAAAAAAAAATACAAAATCAGTAAACTTGCAACGCAATATTTATTCTACCCTAGTATAACCGCCCTTTTGTGGAAAAGAGTGGTGACAGTTGATATGTAGCACCGAAATATATTGGCCTCCACTCTTTTTTCCCGTTTATATAATTTTTAGTAAAAGTGTATGCATATACAAAATATATACATATAATTAATTGATACGACAGTAAAATGTTTCTGACATTCCGTTTTACTGAGTGAGTAATTGAGTTGGCATCATTTATGCAGTCTCAGAATTTGCACAGTAGCAGTATTCGACAGAATAATTTGGTTCTAAAAAGTATTTTCCTTTTTTTCAGTTGATATTTTCTGTGATGTGAGTTAAACGTAGATAATTAATGACGTGAACGATGCACTGCTAAATATTTTGAGTTTATTAAAGATTGACTTTAGCGAGCACCACTTTGCCTAATTCAAGATAAAAATGCATTATTTAAAAAAATAATGCATTTCACCACGTTTATTCCTTACCTGACCGGTCGCCCTATATAATAGCGGAACAAAGTTCTAATTGAAAAGAAGACTCGCACTTTATAATTTGCTGAGTACGGCTGAGTAAGAAATTACATTCGGTAGTCTTGCAAACGGGCCCTGGAAAGGGAAAGACGACAGGTACTCAAGTGCCAGTATCACTAGGCGCGACTTTCTCTATCCTGGCACTATAAAATACAGTAAATTTACCTGTACAGTCTCTGCACAACCTGCTGAACTTTCTTTAAATTGTCTCACGACACAAATTTGTGCCAAGTTTATATATATATTTCTTTTTAAGAAAGGAAATGAGTAGTCAAGAAATCCACGTAAATCTAATTTGCATGCAAGTTTTTTAAGCTCGGTAAGAGTGTATGCGCGAGACACGCTGCGGGAGAAGTACGCGCGTGACTGCGCGTGTGTCTGCGCGAGAGCAGGCACGTGACAAGGCGCGTAAAGCGGTACTGTATTCCTCACTTCAGGAAAGACTGCATCCCTCTGTAGAAATGTTACCGGAGAGGATAGATATTCTAGAGAAAAACTGCAAAAACTTTAGGAAATAGTGCACTCTGTCTTAAAATACGTTTACAGTATTGAAACAAGTACAACGGTGAAACGATACATGTATTTGTGTTAAAAAAAAATCAAGTATTCTTTTCCAGATTTGCTTATAATTTTTTTGAACGCCGTAATAGCTATGTGTACATTGTTTTTTGTACATTTTTGTTCTGTTTTTGGTGACAAGGGTGTCTGTAATTATAGTAAATATAATAATGTCCTCGTTTACTGTAAAAGGATACCAGTATTTGTAATATCGATTGATGCCAGGGGCATTTTTGAAAAGCAGAGAAAAAACGTCAAAAGTTTTTTTTTTCATTTCTTTATTCTTTTCTTTATTTCTTTAAAATTGTGGGACTATTGATTTATTTGTCACTGTAATTGTAAAAGTTTTGGGTTTCAGTAAAACATTTATTCTGCCATGGGTGTAAAAAAAATTAAATCATAGCTGTAAAAAGAAAAAAAAAACACGGGAAAGAGGGCCAACTGCATATAAACCACACAATAAAAATCCGACTTACTTCTTTGCAGAAAAAAACACTGCCAGACTATAAATTCCCTTATGTTTCTTCACTTAGAATGGATTTTCTCAACCATTGGTTTAATTTTTTTTGGAGTATGTATTTTTTACCTTGCACATCCTTTGTAAAGATGGTACTGAAAGTACCTTTTCTGTCATTTTCTTTCTGAAAGGAGCGCACATAATTTAAAATCTTAAAAAAGACTTTTTTTTTTCTATTTGGCATGATGAAATTGTGCAAAAAGTGACTTTGTATTCTTGAAAAGATTCCTACTGTACAGAAAGCTATTGTTTAACAACCTCTTGCAAAATGCAAAGTAATATGTCTTTGTTTTACTAGTATATTCGTTTAAAATATTTTTGTAACTTTATGATTGCCTTGTTTTGATTTCACATTCTGGATTCCTGACAGCACTGAGTGCAGCCTTTATGCTCTGTGCGACCGCTGTCCATTGTCATCACTAATGTGTGAAAATGTTTTTGTTGCTGTTGTCATGTTCTTTTAAAATTTTTTTGTTTTATTTTTTTTTGTTAGCACCTGCCTCCTGTTCTCCTCAGCATGACGAGAGCACGAGCTGAGATCCGGCTCTCGCCATCGCCCCTTTCTGGCACGCCGGCCCAATCCCCTGTAAACCCCGGGACAGCGGCGCGACAGTGAGACAGTGTGGCTCGGCACGTCGATGCGCTATGCACTATGCATGCTGACACAATCACAGATATACATCTGTATATCGTCCATATATATTTTTTTTAAGTCTGCCGAACGGATGAGGAAGCAGAAGAGGCTGGAAGGCTGGCCTGGTGCGGCAGAGCTCGCAGAGACGCAGCGTGTCTGGAAGGCCTGCCAGATGGACGAGCGAGACCTTCCAGGAACTGGAGAAACAAACCTTTGCCTCGCTCCTCCAGACATGGCCTATAGGATCAACCATTAAAAGAAGAAAAAAATGTTTCTGAAACATTTGGGACACGCTCATTAAGCTTCAGTGACTTTTTCATTTTATGGTGCAGCCGTAAACGTTTAAAAAAGGAAAAAAAAAATCGACGGCTTCCTAGTGGAGCAATGTTTTGATCCATGCGTACAGCTGTTCCCCCCTCGTGAAGTTTTTCCCGGACCCCAAGCAACGTTCACGCTGTTCAGAGACCCAAAAGAAAAACGTTTACTTTTTGTTTAACTTCCTTGTTGTATTTTTGTCGAGGAGCTGGGGTTGGGGGGGGGGGGGGGGGGGGAGGGGGGGTTGAGTGGGGTTGTTTTGCA